GAAGTGGGTTTTTCTTTGCGTTGAGCCGTGTGGGCGATACCCTCATCGCACGCAGGCGACGGAGAGCTGTCAACCCCCTCCCTGTCTCGCACGCAGCTCCCGGCACCGCAAGCAGCCCGGGGTTTTGCCCAGTGAATCAGGTTTTGTTTGGAGGCTTCCTGCCGGGAAAGCGGCGGGGTCGCCGAGGTCGGCTGGATACCCCGCAGCTGCGCACTGGGAAAAGCCCGCGGAGCTCGGCCAGCAGGAGGGGGAACAGGGCTGGTCCCAGGGCAACGGTTTCAGGCAAACGCCTCGCCTGTGCTTCTGCAAAAGTGCCCATTAGGTTGGCTTTTGCAAAGCAAATAAAGTTTAAATTAATTGTTGCTTTGCAGAACAGCACGAGGGGTAAATAGCTGCTCAGCTGCCAGAGCCGGGAAGGGGACGTCGGAGGGGTGCCCAGCACCGTGCATGGAGGAGCCTCGGAGCTTGGGCAAAGCAAGGTCTAGGGGGGAAGGACAGACAAATAAAGGGAAATACAAAGCAAGCGGCGAGGGAAGGGGGAACTGTGCTGAGCTGAGGCCAGAGGGGACAGTGACAACCGCCCGTTCTCACCTGCGCTGCCTGCACGGCCTCAGCCCCGGCTGGCTCCAGCCTGTCATTTCTAGCTAAGCAAGAGCATTTCTTCCTGGACGTCCTCCAGCTTCCCATCAAAAATGTCAAAGGACAGAAAGAAAACGTGCCCCCGACCCATGCAGATTTCTGCAAGGGCTAATTGCTCCCATTAAACTCGCATAGCCGTGACCCCCACGCGGTGCCAGACGCATTGGGAAGCCACGAGGAACATGCGGCTCCTTTCGAGACCAAAGCAGCTGAATTCTCTCTCTGCCGACTTGGGGGGAGGTTTGTGTCGTCCCCCCCCAGGAGGGGCACCTCCTGCTCACCCTGCCCTGGCTGCTGCCAGGCCTTGCTCCGGTCCTTCCCTATAGGAGGAAAGTCATGGATTTGGGAGAAAAAGGATGCATTAGGAAAGCCACAGCATGAGGCAATGCCTTAGAGCAAGGAAGTACCTGCGTTCAGACAGGCCACGCAGGAAGCCCGCGGCAGGGGCCACAACGGATGCAGCTTCACCCTTCCTCCATCCACACCAATGCCAAAAAATCCATCCTCTTTTCAAGGGATTCAGGCTTTCAGAAATAAAACAGCTCCCGAAAGGATCACGCTTGCCTTAAAACAAGCAAACAAATAAAAGAACACCCCTCCCCTGCCCCAACTCCCACCCCTTGTTTCCCCAACCCAAGGCTGCTCCCATCCCTTCCATAACCTGCCCTGTGCAGGTCAGTGCCTGCAGCTGTGCTGCCTCCAGGCTCACCCGCTCAGCCTGCCGCAGCTGTAATTTGGGGGAAATTCAGGCGCATTGTGGAGATGCTTATTGTCACCAGAGAGACATTTTCTGCAAGCAGCCCAGAGCAATGAGGGGACACGTGTCCCCTGGGACAGGGCCACCAGCCGAAGCCTGCTTCTCCTTGGGTTTATTGCAGGTGACATGAGATGATGTAGCACCAGTGAGAGCTTTAATAAATTATGTATGCACTGTTCCCCTCTAAATGGGATCTCTCAGATTAATATTTTCCTCCACTGTTCTAATCCAAACTTGACTTTGGACGGCAGGTACACCCTGCTGTTTCTCTGCCTCCCTCTCGGAGACACTCGGGGCTTGCTGGGGCCGTGCTGGCGTGGCTGGGCTTGCCATGGAGGGGCAATTCTTGCTTGAGTCAGAAGATGCCGGTGCCCACCAAGTAAGGGAACGGTCGAGGCAGGCAGGTCTCTGAACTGCCACCTTAGACACTGTGCTGTTTAATGCATGGCCAAGGTGGCAAACTGCTACCAGCAGCTGGCACAGCGGATGTCTGCCAGCCCATGAAGCCAAGCCGCCAGGCTGGCCCACAGAAATGCATAAAAAGGCCTTTTTCCAGCTTGGCATGAGGTTTGTCCCAAACCTCTGAAGTCATGGCTGCTCCACCAGCTGTCCTGACCCCCCATCCCCTTCTCACTTGCTCTAGCTCCATTTAATGGGATCGGACAAGCTAATCCCCCGTGTCCCCTCGCAGCGCTATCAGATGGGATTTCTGCACCGGGGCTGGAGGGAAACCCACCACCCAAGCAATCGCGTGCCTTTACCCAGCCCTGCTGGCTTCTGCTGGAGGCTGGATTCGCTCTTGCCCTTTGCTCCATTGCGGGGCTCAGTGCGGTTCCCGCAGGGAGCTAGTGCATGGCTACAGCTCCATCGCTCGAACCCCGGGTCAGCGGGGGGATCCGCGGGCCAGCGAGGGACCGGGGGCTGCAGCACACATGGACATTTCAGCATTAAATGACAGCCTTGTTTTCTGTTGTGTTTTTTTAAGAGACTGCATGCCTGACCAGACCACATTTCTTGGTCTGCATCCCATATTTATCCTGTAATTACACCTTTGGACAAAGGCTGCCTGTCTGTGAGACTGATTTTTTTAAGGACACAGTTTTATTATACGCTATGCTTTCACTGTAATGAAATCTTGAGAGGGGGGGGGGGGGGGGGGAAAAC